ACCGCTTTTAAACTTCTACCAGACTAATCGACGCTACGACCCGTTAGACAGCCATCTTCGTGCTCACAGCCGTAAACTTCATTTACAAAATCCTACCTAATTTAAATCTTATTAACAGGCGTTACCTTAGTTTATGTTTGGATACCTTAACGCGTACTTCCAAGGATTTGCTTTCTTCGGGAGGATAACATTTAGTAACTTTCAACCGGAATAATGCATATGCATTGCCTTACCTTCTGCATACTTCTCGGATACTTTTCCTTCCTTCGATCAACTTCTCTACTTGGACACGTTTAAACCGGCACCGCAAATGAACAGGTTATGTGTCTCTGTGTTCATTTTGGCTACACGTTTCTCCAAAATCACGTGAAAGTTCTTCGATAATCGTCTTAGGCTTGTTCTTACCCGTAATCACAACCAGATTGTCATTATCATTATGTCCGCAAAATGTCACTGATTGTGGACGGTTTAGACGTAAGATGTCGTGAGTGATTACAGCAAACGACTATCTGGTAATATTTTATTTAACACCATCAGTTAGCATGAAATTATTATGACAAGCGATTGTAGTGTCTTCGTATGCTGAGACAGTTTTATGTGTCATTTTTCCAGCGCGTCAGTCACTTTATTCCTTTATATTGCAAAAATAATTTTCATACTCGCATACATGAGTACATATTTATTCACTAAGGTTTACGCTTGCAGACACTTCGAGATATGGAAAAAGTAAGAAAATCCTGGAAGAAGTAATGCAGTTCATCTCCTTCTTTATCTCTATTTCATAAACCACGTCAAAGAACTATAAGCTACAAATTGGTTTAGTGACCCAATCCGGTGTACAAATCTAAGTAAAGTAAAGTTTGTCCCACTATACGCCATGTAGGCGTTTGGGGTGAGAGGAGGTATAGCTCCTCCCTTCCTTGACCTCGGCACTAGATAGGGGTGAGTGGTCAGCATCACGCCCCGGCCGGCTTTACCCCCGGGAAAGAACCCCGGTACCCATTGTAGAGGAGGCTGGGTGGGCCCCAGAGCCGGTCTGGACGCAGAGGCTAGAGGAAAAATCCTCTCGTCGGGGATCGAACCCCGGCCGTCCAGCCCGTAGCTAGTCACTATACTGACTGAGCTATCCCGGCTCATGGTGTACAAATCTAATTATATCAAAATCCGTTTCGGTTTTTGACTAAAGCCGACACTACTCTTAGGCTTGGTGATTTTTATTCGCCTATGAATGGTGAGAAAGTCTTACAAATGAAAGACGTAATCTGTGAACATTACGGGAAAGAAACTGCAGAAGAAGTGACAAATTGACAAATTGACAAACTGAATATGTAGACATATTTATTTTGATTAAAATCATTGTTAAGAAGTGTGAATCGGGCTACCTAAATATCTAAATCAAACGGCTTGCAGAAGGGGATCAACCAAGTGGCGAAGTACGAGGTGCGATCGGAAAGTTTATAGACTGCGCCTATAAAAACCCGTACACTTATCTCAGGTATTAAATTCATCCATCACCCTCGAAGTAGTTCCCCTGGGAGTGAACACAACGATCCCAGCGCCGCTACCAACCTTGGAAGCATCCCTGGAAATCTTTCTTTGTCAGCCTGTCAAGCATAATCTGCGATTCTGCCTGAATCTCTTTTATCGTCTCAAATCTCCTTCCCTTTAGCTGAATTTTTATTTTTGGGAAGTGGAAGAAGTCACACGGAGCTTAGAAAGGAAGTTGGGGTCGGTTCTTGCAATATCTTTGAGCCCCTGACAAACGAGAAGTCGATTCTGCTTCTGGTCCTCAGATAGGATGCGTCGCATGTGGAGTTCTTCCTTTAGAATCAGCTGACAGGTTCCATAGCCTATCCCAACAATGTCGCACAAGTCGTTGATGGTACGACGTCGATCTTCGT